AGACAGACAGACAGACAGACAGACAGACAGACAGACAGACAGACAGACAGACAGAGAGGATATGTCGAGAGAGACCCGGAGAGGGTGAGAGAAAAAGGAGACACACATTTGGACATAGAGAGAAATATTTTCATAAACGTCAGAAAGTATAGATCTAGTTTTTTTTCTTGGCGCACATTCTGATATCTTCATTCCGATAAGTATTAAGCTTAGCGACTAAGATAGTTTATTATCTCTTCCCACCATAACATAATAACATGGAATAAACAAGTTAGATAATAGTATTCATCCCATGTTAGATGTCATGAAAGACAACTGACAGTCCTGTATCAAACTGGGAAAAGTTATTATCGTTTTACAGAATCCCTGGTTGCATATAACCCCCTCCCCACCAACAGATGTCTAAGAGACAAACGCGCTTTGTGTGAGCGTGTGAGTAGAGGAGAGGGGGAGGGGTGAGAAAACGAGTGGCTGAAGGAAACGCCCGGACAGTCAGAAGGAAGAAACGATTGATTGATTGATATGAGAAGCGATACATTTGCTATTAGCTTCACAAACCCTGCGATTAAGACTTGAAAAAATCCCAACCCAAGGCCAGAAAACCCGCGTTCTAAATGTCATACTTTTTTGCGCCCTGTAAATAATATTTTAAAACTATTCAGAAACAATATGTGCTTTTGCACAAAAGAGCCCAACCTTTTCCCAACATTATAACAGATTTCTCACAGCAGCTTTTCTATCCTGTTGGGACGGAACATTCCCACGATTAGTGAAGGGCATTTAATCACAACCCGCCTGTTAGGCACGGATGAGCTCCTCTTCAGTTTTGATTGGATGGCTGTTCGCATCAAAGCCGAATTATTTGTTTGTTGACATTATGTTAATTTGTTTTTCTTGTTCGTTTGTTTCTATGGAAGGGCTATATGCACCATGCCGCAGTTTAAATTGAAAGCTATTTCTTTGCGTTTAATTGTTTACGTAAAATGATTGAATTGCTCGCTGCGAATTTATTTTTACTATCATTACGTTGATCTTGTGGCTCAGAAGTTTTTGTCTGTGGCTGTGTAATGAATCATTATGATTTTGTTCAAGAGCTGAGCGCTAATTGATCTGTTTGTTTGTTTCTTCTTTAGTTTTCTGGTTTGAAAGTTGAGAGCCGAATTGAAAATTGCACACCTGTTAAGAAGTGGATATTACGTAAACTTCTTGTTAGTATTTAAAACAAACAAAAAATATAGCACTATATCAGCATTACTGGAGCAGGCTGGTGGTTTGTGGATGCTCAGATGGGGTCTGTTTCTTGTACTTTTTTCTTATTAAGGAAATTTTGTCCAAATCTATTTGCTGGTGAAATATGGCCGTTGTATCAATTTGTTGTGACTCAATGCATTATAACAAGACGGTTGTTGATACACCCCTCTCCCCCCCCTCCGGCCCCAATACCTATAAATTGTGCATTTTCTCTGGTCTCTATTGCGTACATGTTTTGATAGGTGATGGGCAGGTGCTCAACTGTTCTGGCGTGATCTCTGTCTTTCTTTTCTCAAACATTTTGCTTCGAGAACTTATCAGTACATTCTGTGTTCTAAAAAAAAAAACGACTGTGGATACCAATCAAGCAGAAACAATCTTTTCATATGCTCTGAAGTAGAAATAAGATTCCTCTTATGCACATACCTTATGAAGATGTCTCCGTATAAACGATGTAACAACCTGTATTTTAACTTGCTGTATTTGGAACTTTAAGAGTTACAATTTTGTGGTCGTCAAGGCTACGGAACAGCTAGTAGTAGAGAAAATTTAAATATTGCGTCAACAGTTTTACTCAGATTATCAATGTTCGTGTTTGAACATTGAGACTCCCAACACTGCCCGGTGCGTTTAAACAAACTACGGAATATCTATTCGGCGTTACTCCCAACACTGCCCGGTGCGTTTAAACAAACTACGGAATATCTATTCGGCGTTACTCCCAACATGCCCGGTGCGTTTAAACAAACTACGGAATATCTATTCGGCGTTGAAGTAATAACAACGGGTAAAAAAATGTGCCTCTCAGATACAGTTACCATGGAAACAGACGCATCAACTGGACATAAACCAACCAGCCGGGGAAAGTGTTCCTCGGAACTTCAGGTCGTACTGCTCTGATCAAAAACCCAATGCCTAAGGCTAACAAGGTTCAGTTTGGTAGGTAGAGTGTGCAGGCTTAGACCCTATTATTTCTGAGTCACCAACAAATCCGTTCTCCTCAGACAATAAATTCCAGAAATTCGCTTTTGATTTGATAGAAAGAAGAAAACACAAAGTTGAAAATTCATAGCAATTTCAAACGTAATTCTAAAAGGCCGAAATTTTTGCGCTCAATGATGACATGAACCCTGGCCAGTGACATTTGCAGACGAGATAAAATAAAAACGCCGGTTCTTCTCCTTGAACATCGAAGTGGTGTGTGCGTATGAGTGTGTGTGTGTGTGTGTGTGTGTGTGTGTGTGTGTGTGTGTGTGTGTGTG